GGAAAAAATAGTGTTTTGACACAGAAACTTAGAAAATGAATGCAAAGGTAAAAAAATGTCATTTGAATCCTGAGCTTCAATCTAAAATTGTAAATTCCCTAATTAAGATGAAGTTTCATAGTTAACTTCCCATTGTAATGCTCCCAAGCATTGTTGAGAGCCATTGATGTTACAGTACATGTAACAGGGTAGCTCTGTGCCCCGAGCAGTATTGTCATCCCTCAGCTGTGGTGGCAACTGTTTTTGTACCCTAGCCCCAAAGGTGGTCCCCGGAGATGCCACCTTGGTCACCCTTCCTCAGTTATACTGTTGTATAATAGGGCCTCTTCTATTGTTCCACATATCTTCTGTTCACATGAATAAATATCCCTGTTAAGGATGCAATATGTTTTGGACACAAGAGTAGTTTGATGCAGGTGGAGGACTGAATTCTTTACTTTGGCTAGAAAGCAGTGGCCGACCTTAGAGTGAAGTTACATGTTGCACTTAGACCATACTCAATCTGTGCCATGTTAACCAGTGTTAAAGTCAGAACGCGCTGTGAGCAGTCGCATGTTAAATGTTAGTACTGTTTCTTGCCTGCACAGCTCTGACTTTGCAGTAGAGGGTTGGTGAGCAGGGGCACGGCTGGGAGCCATACCTGGTCTCTCTCCCTGCTCTGGGGATAGGGAGTGGGGGTGGAGGGGCTGGGAGTATCCTGGGATGCTGGAGGACTGTAAACTGCTTGTTTTATTCCTGTGGTGTAGACCGAAGTTACCCTAACATAAGCCAAGTAGTATGGCCCAGAATTCATCCTTGCCCGAAGTGACATAACTTTGAGGCACTCAGAGGGCATTTAGCATGAGTTAATGAGTTTTAATGTGTGGATGTTCATGTTTTAAGTGCCCTTAGTATGGTCTAAGTGTAACATCTAACATCACCATTCACCTTCTTTAGACTTTAGTAAGGATTACACTAGAACTGGCTTTGTACAGTCTCCCTTGGTTCAGGGGATCTGTCCATGGGGACAGTTATGATAGTTGCACAACCTATTTGTATGGGTAATGTTGGACGGTTGCAGGGAAATAAATGGTTTAGTCTGTGCGTCTGTTTTGACTGGTCACTTTATTTCCTTGCTAGACTAAGCATTTCAGGAAGCAGCAGCTAAGTGGGTGAAGAAATAATGAGGGATGCAAAGTTGCTTTGGGAATGTGCAACATTAATCGTTGTAGCATAAGCATTGGATCTTGTACTCCTCTGGAAGAAAAATAGCTTATACACTGTAGCCCTGGTCTTGCTTGAGGTCTCTAGTACTACTGCAAAGAGCTAACTGATGTACATAAGCACAGGGTAAATGAGTAAGGTGCCCAGGTCTCTATTTGGACATGATGACTGAATTTCCTTTTCCTTCTGAGTAAGTCTAGGTACAAAGAGTTTCTGGGGTTGGAACGGTGTAAGACTTAAGGGAAGCAAACTACACTCTGTAGAGAGAGGGCAAGGCAACCCAGAAGCCTCTCTGCAGTTCCTCGTCCAGTTCCAGTGCTAGGCTAGAGTGTGGTCCCAATCCCTGCCTCTCACCGTAAGGAGCTTTGTGACCACTAGTCTGCTGTAATCTTAGACTCAGTGGCCTTGCTCATGCACCTCCACAGAAGTCCGTGCCCTCTGCATCCATTTCTCTGGCCTGTGTGCAGTTGGCACAAAGCGCAGTTCAGCAGCATGCAGAAGTGAAGACTCTTTCCTATTCTGCTACCACCCTTGCCCCATCCCCTTCTCCATCCTTGCGGTTTCAGTCTTCTCTAGTCTTTCCATATTTCCCATGTTCTCTGAGATCATCTTGACTCCAGCTATCCAATCCAGCCTTCTTTGTGCAAACAAAGCCCTTGGCTTCACGTGGAAGTTTTGGATGCAGAAGGGCTGCAGGTCTGGCCCTTAAAACATTCATTTACATGCACAGTACTAGCCAGAATGTGAAGCCTCTGTTTTTAGTGAGTAGTGATTTTATTTCAATGCACACAGATGCCACTGCAATGACTTGGTTGGAGTTACTCTTGATTTACATCAGACCCTTTGTGCTCTATCATCATCAGGTTTTAAACACTCCTGTCAGCTGAGAGGTCCTTCCAGACCAGTTACACAATATATCCCTTTGTCAAACCCAGTTCTATGCCTAGTACATGTGAAGCCATTTCCTCTGAGAGTTGAGGGCACTTATCACCTCACAGGATCAGGCCCCCAGTGTTTATCAAAGCAAGGCTCTCTTGCATTTCAGTGGGAGTTTTGCCCAAGTACAGGCTGTATAGTTTGACTCTATACTTTCTCCATTCCTGTAGGATTCAGTTAATTTTCTGGAAGGTTGTTTGGAAGAAAAATTATGTTCCTCTCCGCACTATTATTGCCACAGTTGGTACAGACACCCAGGCTCCTTTTTACATAAATCTTCCCCTTGCCGCTGTATTTAATTATCAGGGCTACAAACTTATTAAGCACTCCTCAGCCTGGAGGGATTGCATTACAGTTGAAATGCTGTATGCTTTCACTGCCAGTGCTGCTCAGTTCAGGTGGCAGAAGATGCATATGTATAAGTGCATGTTACTGATCTCCAAGAAACTGCTGCTTAACAGCAGGGTGAATCCTAGCTCATCTGGCTATGGCATAACCAGAGCAACTGCTGTAGGAGGTTGAGAAGATTGCCCGTGGAGCCTGCCTTGGAGGGTCCCTGTGTGCACCCACAAGTGGGGATTTGGATGCATGCTGCATCCATGACTGCATCAGTCCCACTGGTATTCTCTCATCTAGAGCTGTAAGTGGTTGCTACTGCCTGAGGACAGCAGTGGGAGATTCGGAGTGGAATAACGGCTAGCCTGTGGCGCAAATTCGTGCCACCCTGGTCCCCCTGCAGTGGTCACCTACTGGGCCTGGCATTTGGTGCAGTACTGGACTGAACAAGGTGGACTGGACTCCCCTTGCTGCTTCCTGCCTGAATGCCTGCACTCTCCCTCACAGCCACTAGATGGTATTTGACATCCACTTCTGCTGGCTTCACTTTAAAAAAAAAAAAAAAAAGGCTTTCCAGGTCAAAACAACCCTGAGCATTTCTCCTTGATTCTAACCAAACTTTCCCAGACTTGTTATTCAGTTTGACAGTATTACAAGCACAATGTGCAGGTGAACAAAACTTTTGTTTTGCCCACAAACTAAAATAAGCCTACCTGATGGGATAGGGGCATAGACGGGGTTCAATGGTTGTTGCTCTTGATCAGCTGAGTTGCCCTAGGGACAGCAGTGGAAGCGCTCAGGTGAAGAAGAGAAACTCATGAGCCTGCTTTTAGCCTGGCGGGTAGCATGCGGGACACTTTCAGAACTGGCCATTCGTCTAATCTAACACAAAAAGCCGAGTCCTGCTGTCCTTACTCACTCCAGCCCTAAACTGGCCACCCACTGTTGGAATAAAGTCTACACAGCGACTACTGAGGTCTGGTGGCAAGACAAATGCAGTGGAGCATATGCAGGCACTTAAGGGTCCAAGTGAAATGAATGCAGATTTTGCCACTAACTTTAATATCTCCAGATTCAAGCCCTGCCATTGAAACTAGGTTTTATCAAG